CATATGAGGCACAACACTGAGTGAGAGACACAAACAGTCTGTCGAGTCGACGGCTGTCAGGAAAGCTCTGTCTGTGTCTGCAATGCAATCACACATTCATTCACAACATATGACACACCAATACAGTGTTGAAGGTATGCTTACGTCACACGCTATGCTTATGAGTCATAAGTTATGACATTGGCGTCAATACTGAATAACACAGCCTTTAAATATCTACCAAACATAGAGATATTCCCAAACATTTAAAATCAGTTTTGTAAACTTTTATGATCCAATTGGACAGGGATGTAGTCAGAAAATGATCCATTTCTTAGTGCTATTTTGTGACTTATATTTCTTATAAATAAACATTTATTTATTTTATTGTAGAATTATTAAATTAAAAGTTATTCAAATATCTATTCAAACTCTTTATTAATTATTTTATATGCATTTTAACGACTTATTTTAAATAAATTGCAAACCGTGATTGAAAATCATGATTCTTAAAGTGAACAATATTTGTCAATGAATGTGGTGTTTATGTTTTGATGTTAATGTTACCATCAAATGAATTTATAAGACAGACTTCAAGTCAAAAATACAATGATTTGCGAGTGATTTCAGTAAAATTCACTTGATTTCTTCGTTTTACTTCTTTTACTGGGAATCAAATCTGTGGATCCATTGGCCGATCGCTTACCACTCGGGCGCTGGACTTTGGATTTGGCGAGCAGTGACTTATCGGCCGAACCGCCAACTGATCGGTTCTGTTGTTTACCAGAACCAGACAGCAGTGGATGAGCCTCTGATTGTCATCAAACGAATCACTGGTTATAAAAGTGTCAATCAATCAAAACAATTCATTCTAACCGTCTTTCGGCGCTTCCTTCAGATCGATGTCTATAGTCTTAGATCTTCGCGACTTTGTCGGTGTTTCCGTGCGAGGAGTGGGGGTTACAGCTGTCGGGCCCTCCATTTCGGGGTCGTCTATATCGGGCGCTATTGGGAGGTATATGAGAGCGC